GTTTAATAGAGTACACTATGCTGCTACGGTCATCAAATTATTGTCATCTCTGTAATTTTGGAAAAATTTAATCCATACCGCTCTAGTATAAAAAAACCTCCTACATTTTATAAAATATACAGTGAATATATAACCTTATCTTAAATTGGAGATGCTATACGATTGTTCCATAAGGTGGAATCTCCCACCTCAGGAGTCCCCCACCCCGACCCGACAGGATGGTGGGGAAGTTAGTCACGGTGACTCAGTCAGCAGAATGACAGTAGATCCATACACCCGTGCGCACCAGAGGCCCAGTCTTATTTCAGGTTCTGTGACCTCCACCCGGTCGCTGCGGGGGTTCGAACCTTGGTCCATTGTTCCAAATCTCCCACCACTCGACCAACTGAGCTACCCGTGCGCGGAGATGCTCTACTATATACCCTCAAATTCTATCCTTTCTTTATCTTAAACAATCATATAGCTCTTTTACAGCTCAACGCTAAATAAATCATACGGAGTATATTTTGAAAAATAAATCAATATAGAGATTAGTACAGAAACCCCCATTAAATTCTCAAAATGACAATCTATTTGGAAACAAAATATACATTGAATGATGTACGGTGAGTGTCGTATGTATTGACAAAAAAGATACAACACGTCTCTCCCTTTTATTAAGCATTTAATCAACTTTCAAGGACAATAGATTAGCAGCCGGGGTACATACTACTTGACTCAATTAATTAATTGATTGATGATTAAAGAACATAAATATGATTAGCGATCAGGAACTCTCCTAATGGTGGGAAATTACGCACCCAAAAAGGCAATAATGCAGATTGGAGGGCACCCATCATTCAGGAAACAGTCCTTTTCTTTCTGCTAGTACGTGGCAAAATATTTACTTTGTTCCAAAAGAAGGAGCCCCACGTCTCCAACCCGACATAATTTTTAAAAGGATGTAAGTCACGGTGCCTTAGTCATACGTATCAGAGATTCAGTCCAACACGCAAGAGTTGTAACCTCAACATGGTCACTGCGAGTTTCGAATCTTGATCATTGTTCCAAATTTTCCAATACGGAAGAGCTACCTGTGCGAGAATTACTTTGTTTCAAAAGATGGAATCTCCCACCCCTTATTTTGAATGATAGGGCACTAGAAATTGTCTCTACCTTTGTAGGGGTTAAGCGTCCTTATTTGGTCCGGCCACGTCCGAATAATATTTTCCAATGTTCAAGGGATTGATCGAACCTCAAAGGACATTAATGCATGCAAATACATAAGGGTAGAGCCCATGTGTAAGATCTTGAGAGGCTGAGAGCATCTTCTGTGGGCTCCATCATAATTGATACTCCAAGTACTATTACAATAACTCACATGTGTAGAGTTTTTTATTTTATATTAGAGCAACAAATATTTGAACGGTCATTATTTAGCCTTATATTTTGAATATGTTTCATTGATGAAATAAAAAGTTATATGAAAATTGATGAAATAGTACTCTTCCATCTATTTGGTCACAAAAGTAGTCATTTTGACCTAATTTATTTTTGATTTTTACACATTTAAAGTTTTAAACACATGAAATAAAAAATTGCTTATTTTGTAAAAAAGTTGATTGATCATTTTCATCATTTTCATTTAACCCAGTGCCGCAAAGGCTCCCACCTACGATTGAGTAAGAGAGTCGGATGTACGCAGTCTTACCCCTGTACTAAAGCACAGAGAGACGGTTTTCGCATAACCCATAGTGAAAATCACGTCCAAAATTGCATGGACTGACTGCTGCTTCATAACAAAAAACGCAGACACTTTAGTGAGTCATTTTGCTTTATTCCACCATAATCTCAAGCCAAAAAATAATGAATCTTTGACTCCAATGCGAATTATGGAAAAAAATGTTTTTACAGGCCCATTGATGAAGTTGATAAATCGAAAATAAACGTTTCTTACAGGTCGATTGATGAAGTTGATAAATCGAAATTTAATTGTATGAAATTTATTATATGAGTGCCTTAATATACACAAAATTTAATGTTACAAATGCAAAGATCAAAGCAACAAGAGTTCTACAAAATCTTAAATATGTTTTTTAAACATATCAAAATTTAGCACTTATATAATACAAAAACTTAAGATCTATCTAACCAAATCAGACACAAAAATTTAGTCCAACTAAAAACATATTCTTACCCTGAATATTTTTATTCGTTCATGGTGATCTGTTGCACGCCTGCACATATGATCTCACATACATCTTAGTTTACTTAATTTTTTAAATAACTTGCAATTTTTCCTTCCCGGATTTTGTTTATGATCTCGACCAATATAAACCACAATTATTTTTATATTGTTTAGAATTAAATTAGGGAGTACTTGCTTGAGTTGTGTCAGAAATAGAGTGAGAATTTAAGATATACTCCATCTGTCCCGTTGGAATGTTCCCGGTTTGACCTACACACATATTAAGAAAATAAACTTACCAGAGGGTAAATTTTACTATTTTGATATTGTTTCGACACTGTTTGACACTGTTTCAACACTATTTGATACTGTTTTGCACTATTTGACCCCATTTTAATGTAAAATAACTTTTCATTTAGGGAAATGAGAACTTTCCAACGGGACATCCAAAAAAGGAAAGCAGGAACATTCCAAAGGGAGTACTAGTATATAATCCGTACCTTTTGTGTTTCGATTGTAGACCGGTTGTTTTCAAAAATCCGGAGTATTTTTTAAGCAATTATGAAAAGCATATGGTAGTAATTTTTTTCAACCTTTTACTTAATAAGCCTAAATGAGATTTTAACTTTCTTGTTTTGGATTATAATAAGTTAAAATTTCCAGAACAAATACGTTTCCATTTTATTGGGGAATAAATTTGCCCATTCCCACCATTTTCATTAAAACTATGGGCCCTGAGAAGCTTGTATCAGAGAAAATGAGAAGTTTATTACCCCGTAGAAGAGATGGAACTTGTAACAAAGAAAATGAACAGTTTATTACTCCGTAGAAGTAAATGAGTGCACTAATATAAAAGTCCATTTCAAGGTTCAAAAATCAATTCACTTATTCGCTTACTCCCTTCCTCTTTTAAAATTTTGTCAACTTTCCCGTTTTAGATGTCCCACTAACTTTATTAATCCACGTGCCAGTCAAATTTGGCAAAGTTTTAAGGGACAGAGATAGTATAAAAGAATACTCCGCATCAACAAAATAGATGAAGAGGATGTAATTTGACCAGAGAAAAAAAAACTCTCTTCTTGTTGATTTACTTCATTGTGTAATATTATAATGAGTACACATACCGATGGGCGTAACTCAACTGATAGCAAGAGAGTGTCACAAGGAATAGGTCCCGAGTTCGAATCCCGACAATTGCGATGAAAGGTAACTATGTTAAAAATGCATATGACCTTTGCAAGTACCGAGAACAGAGCCACACTCTATATCTATCATATTGAGATTATAGTCCAATTTACATCCTCCCAACGTACCGTCCGGTCGGGGTTGGAGGACCCTCAGGGATGGGATGTCATCCTTTTTTTTATAATTGCACAATACTAAATAGTGCACACCATATTAATAAGGAAAAATTGAAAATAATAATCCCAACTATTGCCGGTCCGCTAACAATAATCCCAACTATTGATTATTTTTGTATAATCCCACCTATATGGATCGTCCGCCAATAATGGGCCATGACCGCATATTACTTGCTCTAACAAGTGAATTTTTAATAGAAATTAAGCGTAAAAATTAAAATTTGGGATTATTTATAGAGATTAACTGCTATATCTCTTTAGAAACTATATGAATTTATTTACAGTCGGTCACATCGAACCATTATTGACGAAAGATCCCTAAAGTTGGAATGATTATGAAATAATCGATAGTTGAGATTATTATGAGCGGACCGCCAATAGTTGGGATTATTAGAATCAATTTTTCCTATTAATAAAGACATTCAGTAAAAAAAGTCATTTGAGATAATTAACAAAAAACTCAAATTCTATTTTCGTGAAAGTTAAAGCAGGAATTTAAGATGAAGCCTTTCTTCAAAATTCAAAAAGGAATTTGAGTTATAATTTGCATCTAACTCAAATTCAAAAGTTAGATGCAAATTATTACAACCATCTAGGCATGGACGGTTCCGGTTCGGGCCCGGGCTCGGCCGGACCTCGGTTCAGAAAGGGGAGGCCCGGAACCAGCCCGGGTAACCCCCGAGTCCGGGCCGGGCCGGGCCGGGCTTCGATTCTATTTTTTTTTTTTTGGCTTTTCCTAGTTAACCCCCAACCCTCCCCCTCACCGGCTCACCCCCAAACCAACTCTAACCACCTCAAGTGACCCATCCATTAAAATTTTACCCAGTTTAACTAGCACGAGAAATAATAACTTAAAAAATGTGTATTTAAAATTCATGCAAAAGTGATCGATTAAAAAAGTACAAACTAATTAATTAGTTAAAAGGAAATAGTATGTCTCCCATTCAAAACTTTCTGATGAAAACGGATGATTATGCATTATGATTGATATAGAAAAAAAAAATTAATTCATTCGAAATTGAAAGAAATTTTGAAATATCCTAAAAAATGTTAGGAAGAAAAATAGTCGTATTAGATCCAAGGGAGAAAAGAAAACCAAGTAATCAGTCCATGAGGTCCATCTGTGTGTCGCATCATGTGCTTATCTGACACAATTGACGAGTTCACATTTATTGGAGGACAAAATAGTCAAACATGTAAGATCATAAACATAAGGTATACCGAGTATTTTATATTGACAAAGTGTAACATAATGTGTACATAGAACATATACTGTTTTCGTCCCGCTAAGAACGTCCCATTTTACTTTTTCGAAAAACTCCACTAAAATTGTCTCATAACAAATTTAGTAAAATTTGTGTGGCTCTAAATCATTTTTACTTTATTCTTACTTTATCAATTTAATATCAACCACACAAATCCACTTTTCTTAATAATCATGACACCTTCTCTTGTTCCAATCTTAGTGGGACGAAGGTAGTAACACATTTATATTAAGCCAAAAAAGAATGAACTAAATTATGATTAGTAGCAAACAATCCAAACCATTTTCATATTTATGTGCCGGAGAAGTTCATAAGTTAAATCATACAGCACAAAAATATGCCGAAAAGGTACCAATCAACAGCTTTGTACCATCTAACATTCACACTTGAGTTAAGGGGCATGAAATCAATTTGTCAGATGCAGAGCATTTAACTTGGGAACATAATTACAGTCAGCCCCTCAGTGAGTATTTTTTCCCAGTGAAAGGTTGAAACTTTGGCTCTTCTTTCTTTTGCGGTTCTTCTTTAGCAGTTTCTTTCTGCATGCAGTAACACATAAAGATTAATACGAGCAGGTTCATACAGTGCGAAGGCAAAACAAAATATTACTCCCTCCATCCCATTGTGATTGTGCTTATTTTTCTGTCTTGTGCACAAACCTCAATCATATAACTTTTGCTTTTCTTATTCCTCTCATTTGAGTCAGGATATCGGGTAGGCCATAATCTATATTGGCCACTAGTGGTGATAGAGCTAGGGGTATAAACTAAAACAAATACAAATTTCAAATAACTTTATACACAAAATTTTATATATGTATAATCATTGTTTTTTAAATTTGGGTGGGCTGGGCCTAGCTCAGCCCCTACCTACACCCCTTGCCACTAGCCACTAGGTATAAAAATGTTTGCATATGTATTACATATTAATATTAATACTCATTCTCTCACCGGGAGTCTTACCTTCAATTTTATCTAATCGTTGCCAGTTAATCAGTTATCTTCTGTAAAAGTTGAATTTTGAACATGGTTTAATAGCTTAAGTTAATATTTGATGCTAATAAGCAAAAAAAGGACTATGAAATTGTTTTAGACCCAGATCAAAGTGCCTGAGGTTATCATTCCTCTCTAAAAAAACACGCATACACATATCATAGATATCAAAATGGGAACACATAATGCGATGCAAGAAAAAACCTTGGGTGTTTCACGCTGGCGGTTCCCATTCGAGCCAAACACAAGCTTCCCTTGAGATTGACTATTTGTACTTCGAGTGCTTGATGATGCAGGGGAAGAAGTTTTGGTTGCCTCAGTTTTGAGTCCAGACGGGGAAGCGGGTGGTGGGTCATACTTCAAAGATTTTCCATCCAATCGTTTTCCTGCACCCGTAAAAGGGTTGAACTTGGGTATATCATCAACTTGACTCTCTTCACCTGCATTGGTAACAAATGTATGCATGTTAAAACCTGGCTAATCTAATCGAATTGCCCCATATTACCCCCACTTGCCTACGTGGAGGTTATTTAAAGCCTATACCAAACAAGGTAATCACACGCCTGCATAATAAATACATCCAACAGATCTCACTTGAGACAATAATCTTAGTCCTAGCTACATACTACTAGTCTACTACTACCTCCATCCTAGCTTAAGTTTCTCATTCAAAAATGGCAAGGCTATTTAGACAATATTTAAATAAGGTTATTCGAGTATATTTTGAAAAGATGTTTTGATGGGTATATAATATAATAAGGTCATTAATGAGAACTATGATGTTGTAGGTGTACTGTTTTTAATACTACCTCTGTCCCAAAAAACTTTGTCATCTTTAAACTTTGACAAACTATATATTTTTATTGGAAATTATTTATAATATGAAAATGTTCTTGTTAAAAGTACTTTCATAAAAGCATAAATTTCCATAATATTATACTTCATACTAATCAAATCATGGTCTAAATTTTATGAAATGGCAAAGTTTTTTTAGACGGATGTAGTATTTGACCATTAAGCTGTCATTTAAAAGTGCTAATTAGTTTCTAAAATAGAAATGGGAACCTTCAACTGAGACGTGCAAAAGAGGCAAGTGAAAAACTTAAGCTGGGACGGAGGGAGTGCTATTTAATATTTATAGCTTCTTTATTAAAATATAGAAAATATATAAGTGTGAAACAGCATCCATGGTGTTTTTATTTTGAGGGAAGGTGCATGTATGTACTGCAGAATATACAACCTTCAGCAGGGGCCTTGTTTGGAAGAGAAGAGACAGGTCTTTCAGGTTCCTTATAATCAAGAGGAGGAGCAAAATCAACTTCACAGTCTGTTTCAATGACACTAATAGCGTTAGATGGCTTCGCCTCGATTATATCTATGTAGTACTTTTTATTGTTATAAGCCATCATGATACTATCTCCTGTGGTTAAGCATGAGAAGTTCCTGAGTGTTGTCTCCAAGCTGTAACAAAATGGAAAGGGAAATTACAAATAATTGAACTTCCTCATTCATCCAAATTACGCATGTAAGCAAAAAAAAAGGTTTAGCAAACTCACATGGCTTTTGGGTTGGAAATATCCAGGAAATCTTTTGTGTGGGGTTGCAATTTCACATATGTGCCCTTAGGAAGAGAAACATTCTTCACTCGTACAAAGCTTCCTTCTTGCAACAACAAATTTTCCATCATCTACAAGACCTCAACCTATGAGATTATGTCCGAATAACTGAATCACTAAGACCCTAAAACAAATAACTATTTCTTACCCAATATGGCATATATATCATGCCTTCTTCTGCAATAAACTCCAAAACACCACAATGAGACACCCTCTCAGCCGCAGCATTGTGAAGTTCAAACAGCATCGGGTACTCGATATGTAGAGATGCTGCAATGAGAAAATTCAAGCTAAGACATCAACTAAGCCAAAGAAATATTGCATATAAGAATATAAGATAAAAAAAGGAAGTTTCAAAACTAACCAAGGCGGTCAAGAGCAGATGGAGGCATTATAACTGAAATGGAAATAAAGAAGATATCATTAGCATAATATTTAGTAACATCTATGCATCAATGAGAGGACAAAAATTCTAACTACTTACTTTTGTCTCCATTTTCTATATGAGGCTGCAAAGAGAAAAATATAGAGTCAGTATTGTAGCAAGTACATACAAGATAGCCCAAGTACTAGTGAAGCTTGACAAAAAACAATTATGCATGCTTTCGTTCTTGATTTCATAACTGTAGCGTGCAGTGTGCTTGTGTTTGTGTGCCTGTATCTTCTTCAATTTCACCAAGCCACCAAGGGATCTTGTTGTGTTCAGTAAAGGAATCCAATATAACAACAACAACACAACAACATTACCCCAGTGCCGCAAAGGCTCCCACCTACGGTGTGGTAAGGGGGGTCGGATGTACGCAGCCTTACCCCTGTGCTAAAAAGCACAGAGAGACTGTTTCAGTAAAGGAATCCAAAAAATGCAGTAAAATATATTTCTCCTCATTTCCCATTTTTTTGAGATAATAGTAGAAGAACGAGGAAGCAAATGGTTTTAATATCCAATAAAAATAGAAGAGGAAGAGAATGATGGGATAGATAGAATGGGAACCAACCAACCTTGTCAATAAAAGATGCAGGATAACACCGATACGTTTGCTCGAATGATGTTCCTTGGTAACCATATCCATCGAAAAACTGATTTCAGAAATAGGTTGAGTTAAGATAATGACAAAACAAAATGAGAAAGAAATGCTCGGAGAGCAATAGATGAATATTACACGCATTATAGTATTTATACCATACAACGAGGTAATGATTTAATTTATTGATAAAATACTAATCTGTGTTTAAATTGTGGTTCACCTAAGTTATGGTAAGCTAAAAATACTAATCTGTCTATTGAGAAAATAAATTCACCTGTATGAATATCTTAAGATGGTGATTGGACAATATAGCCCTACCTAGGTTTTGTTGAACCGAGTTTGGGTTAAGGTGAACTGGAATAAAATTGTAGCATAAGACACCCACACCGAATCTTGAGGGGTAATAACAACGGGAGTGAATTGGGGTAAACGATTCACCCACTCAGGTTAATAATATAAATTAAGTCCCTAACGGAGTGAATCAAATATTTTATCTAGATTCATTAAGCTTCATGACAATTCAAATGGGGCATTACCGAATTAGAGGATACTTGAAACCAAATTAATTTTTGCATATATAACAAATAAGCATAGTCAAGAATGAGAACGCAAGCATATATTATCATCTCCTATGTTTCCTATCCACACATACTTTTAATCCGTGGTAAAAAGGCAGAATGTAGTCATTCAAACCACCAAAGTGTCTTACTCTGTTACTCAAATGCTTAAACAGGGCAATGATCATCTCCTAGGCTCAAAATTATTGTTTCCTAAGTACTTTACTCTAGTGAGGGTAGGAAAAAATAAAAAAATCTGCAATATCATTGATTCACCTGAAGTTTTTTTTTTGTAAAACACAACTTTTAGCAAGCAAGATCAAATCATTCCAATAAAGATGATCTGCAAGCTTGCAGTTCATATATCGCAATAGTAGAAAAAGTTCGACATAAAATACATAAACGCTTGAATCCAAACAGTACAAACTTAGCAAAGCCAGATAAAGATTACTTCAAATACACACGGAAACCCAAAGTTGCATACCATATTTACTATCGACGAAGCACTGACAGGCCAAGGCTGAGATGAAATCGGGTAAAGCGCCCTAGAAAGAGACGTGTAGGATACTCCGCGTGGAGTTGGGAGAGAAAGGGGTGAAGCTTTTCAGGCAGAGGCGAGATGCAAGCGGAGAAAGGGCGTCGGCGATCGTCGTTTGAACGGAACCGGAAGCGGTTATGATGGGCTTTTTGGGATTGCTTTCAGAAGAAGGGTGGAGAAGAACAATTGAGTCGAAGAGGGGAAACCGCAGGCCGCAAGTCCGATCAGATCTTTCGATGAATTCTATTGATGCACCTGTACTTAAACACCTCTCTCCCCAAATCCCAATAGTATACTGACTCCCTCCCCGAAGCAATAATAGTTCTTATATCTCCCGTTTTTTACAATTTCTTTTTACTATCTTATCTTATAGGAGTTTAATGTTTAAATTCTCAAAATATGACTAATTCTTCCTATTCTACCATTTCTCTTGTCCTTCTTAATAGGGTTTTTAAAGGAAAATTACCCTAAATAGGAGTAAATGAGGTTTGAAATTCCAAAATAGGACTACTATGTTTTTCTTCCCGAAATAAGAGTTTTTACTACCATGTATAAAAAATATTGCCATAATTAAAAAATACTGTCATTAATTATAATAAATATTGTCATGTTAAATGCAATGTACTGCAACTATTTGGCAACCACGCCTACAAGATGACAGTAAATAATGTCATGTTAGTCTTATTTCAGCAATAAAAATATAGTAGTCCTATTTTTGGAATTTCAAACTCCATTTACTCATATTTTTGGAAAATCTCCCTTTTTAAAATAATCATTATAAAACATAAAAAATTAAAATAAAATAAAAAATAAAAAACGTAAAAAATAAATAAAAAATATACACACCTCAACCACCACCTCATCAGCCACCTTCCAGCACTGCCACCTCTGGTCATCGATAAAGATTGCCAAGTTAGGTAAAAAATTCACCGTGATGACAATTTTGAAAAGAAAGCTGAATGTTTTCAAAGAGTACAAATGCCATCGTTATGACATTTTCAGAAAAATGTGGTATTTTTTTACACAAGATGACATTTTTTCCGATGATCGGAGGTGGTGGTGCTGGACGGTGGAGGATGCAGAGGTAGTGGCCTACATATTTTTTTAATATTTTTTTAGGTATTTTATTTGATTTTTTTTATTTTTTAATGTTTTTTTATTTTATTTTTTTAAAATTTTATTTTTTTTATTTTATTTTTTGCATATATTTTATATTAATTTATAAATAGTTTTACGATTTTTTATGTTTTTATTATAAATAAAACTATGATTTTTGTATTAATAGGTGAATCTATTAGAATTTAGGGAAATTGCCAAAAATAGGAGTAAATGAGATTTGAAATTCCAAAATAGGACTAATATGTTTTTCTTTCCGAAATAGGAGTTCTTATTGTCATGTATGAAACATAATGCCATGATTGAAAGATACTGTCATTAATTATAATAAATATTGTCATGTTAAATGTATTGTACTGTAAATATTTGGCAGTCACGCCTACAAGATGACAATAAGTACTGTCATGTTAATCCAATTTCGGGAATGAAAACATAGTAGTCATATTTTGAAATTTCAAAATCCATTTACTCTTATTTTGTGAAATCTCCCTAGAAATTATAGGTTGGGGGTAGATTAGGAAGAAGAGGCATATATTGCTCCTATTTTGGGAATAAAAAGAGTATAGTCCTAATGTGAAATTTTTGACTACTTTTAGTCTCATTTAGGGCTAATAGCTGAAAAAACAAATCACTTCTTCTCCTCCACCCACCCCCCAAAAAAACAAATCACTATTGTTTCCAAATTTCAAGAAATATATTTACCATTTGACGAACTATATTTTATTTTAGTAAGATTTCAAAATAGAACTATCATGATTATATTTCTTAAATATGAGTATTTACTATCAATATTGAAAAATGTTGTCATATTTAAAGCCAGCTAATGTCAAAACATGACAAGTTACTTATATTTAGGGAATACAAACATGATAGTTCTGTTTTGGAATTTACAAATATTTTTACTCATATTTAGGATAATTTCCCTTTATTTTCCTATTCACAAAAGTCTTAACTAAGCTAAAAAGTGTTGTAATCTATTTGTTCCATAAGAACGCTTAAAAGGAATTCTCACTAACCTGTGAGTTTATAAAATAAGAAAGATGTAAATCATTTTATTTTGATCGAATTGAGTAATAGAATTACATTTCGAGCCTCTTAGAAAACACAACCGAAATTGATGAAATTCTGGTTAAAGTGAATGAATCGACTTTGCCTGTTGAATTATGGAAACATTTTATTAATAATATTTTTATTAATAGAATAATGAAAAAATTATATGAAAATAAGGGAGGATCATAACCCATGTTATGATCCTCCCAGTTTTAGTGAGTCTTGGGTTAGTTTGTGATACTGATAACAGGATGCTTTATGTATTTCAAAGAGAGATTATTGTAACTAGCTAATGGGGGTGTCAGTAGTGTTTATTAATTTTGGGGGAATATGCATGGAAAAAAGCATTGTTAACATATAGCTCTGTCAAGCGGTGGAGCAAGAAAAACGGCTCAGGTGGTCGAAAATCAACTATGTATAAAATGAAAATGGTAGATCGTTTTTAGACAATGTTCGAGTTGAATGTTGCATTTGTAGTTTAGATAAATAGGCACTTGTAGCAATAAGATAGATTGTATTTGCTCTGTTTCTAAATCATGTCACGTAAGTAATGAGTTAATTAAACGTTATTTTTAAAATTTGGTGAAAAAAACAATATTACGCATCACATTTTGCTGATTTTACGTTTAGATAGTGCTAATTTTCCAGAAATCATAACTTTTTACTCATAATGAGTTACGTGGGCCATAATATATCAAATCAAAGATATTTCAGAACTTTATACTCTCAATCATTCAGCGGGGTCGGCTGACCACCCCTTGGCTCCACCCCTGGCTTCGCCCAATGTGGGTGATAATGGAACTAAAACACGAGAATCACTTTGGGAAAAAACGAAACACACAACCCTATTTGAAAAAGTTCTCAAGCACATTTGCATTTTCCTTATTTTATCCAATAACTATTACTCCCTCAATATTGAAATGGTTGCTACACTTTGCTTTTTAGATGTATTTTAATTTTTGTTACAATTTCCGTATTCCATATTTTTTCCTTTAAGAAATTAAATTATCAATATTTTTCTACTTTTTATTTTCTCTTTCTTACTTTTCAAACATCTCTCCTATTTTTACACTATTCGTTACTTTTACTACTTTTCTTTTAAATATTGTGTCAAACCTTATTATAGCAACCATTTCAATATAGAGGGAATATAGAAATAAGTAAAACCATCCAATATGACTCTAAGTTCTAGTTTGGCAAAAAATCGAACTATAAAATATTTCAATTGTAAGTACAATTTTTTAAGAAGACTCTTACATATAATTCAATTGTAAGCTATGTAATTATTTCCTAAGAGTATGTTTGGGAGTTTGAAGGGAAGGGGAGCCAGGGAGGGGAAGGCTTGGAGGTATGTTGTTGGAGAAGAAATGGAGGGGGAGGTGAGAAAGCTCTTCTTCGTATTTGGGAGTAAAAAATTTGAATGAACATAGTTTTTGAAGGAATTATGATTCAAATCAATTTGAGACATGACGAATTCAAATAATTGAATTGATATTCATTTTTAATTGAGCTTAAGTTATCATTTCATTAAGTATCCTTCAAAACCCTCCAAATTGGGGGAACTTAAAAATTGGGTCTTTAGAGGGTTTTAGAGGGTTACAAAAGCTTTTAAAAACCATCCCTTCCAATTTTTAAACTCTGGAGGGATATACCCCCATCAACTTTCCCCTCCCTTCCAAAACCCAACTCCCAAACATACATACGTAAGAAGGTTCTTACTTCTAATGCATTTTGCAAGCTATGAAATGTTTAGCTACTCTTTTCCAAATGTTTATTTCTTTGCATATCTTATAACCTTTTCTAATTATATAGTTACTCTATTTTACAATCAACATGTAGATTTAAATTAACACTTTAAAAAAATACCATCGTCTTTCCTTCTCTCAACCAACATCTCAATCAACCAACAAGTTGTGAAAGCAATACACGGTTAATTAATGGTTCAAGCAAATAAGATGGATTTGACAAGTTGTGAAACCAATACACATTAAAGCCCAAAAATCTAAATATTTTGTTTTATCATCTTCTAAATAAGTTGAATTTGTCTCAAAATAATTATCTACAATGACTTAATTTATGCGAGCGGCAGCACACCTTTAATTTATAAAAATATTTATGTATTCAGATAAAGTATTATGTAAAAAATTATGAGTTACAATTCTTTCTATTTGACAGCTCATTCAACTATTCTCTTATGCATATGCCACTATACATTTATCTTACAGTATCATATTGTAGGTAGTGTAGGATTATGTATAGTAACTTATAACTGCACTTAAATTTAAAAATTCGAAGTTAAGTACCATTTTTTTAAGATATTTGTCAATTTGTGTCACATTCCTCATCTCAAATCAAACACGACATAAGAAGTATTTCATTATATTTTTAGGAACCTCATTGTATTAATTTTTTCAGGCTTTTTGTTGATTTACATAAAGTATAATTTTTCGGATGTTGTAAGTTGGATTAAAATTTTCCGATATGGTTTGGTGGCCCATTTAAGTCTAGTCTAATATGATCTGTGGTCGTATTTTTTTATCTATTTAAGTCTAGTTTGATTCAATGGAGCTTGTTTAGCTCTGATTTGATTCCATTTGATATGAAATTCAAACACATCCAATTAAAACATCACTACTAATGCATTATCCAATGTATCACGTCTATTCCAAATGACCAAACCTTGTTCTTTTGATCGCTGGGACATGAATATACATGGATATATTCGATCTGACATTGACTCCCTTCACCCACAAAGACATACGTTCATGCTTTTAACATAATTTACATATGAACTTTGGTGAATTTTCTATAAAAAATTATTGGTTCAGGGATAATTCCACTGCATTACACCAGTAATTTCATTCTTTATTGTTGGAATAGTTTAAATTTTACATTACTCACATATTCTAATTTAATCTAATTGTATTTTTTAAAAGAAATAATAACGGATAAATGTATAAGTATGATGACTATATCTATAAGTTTTTTTAAATAAATGATCAAAGTAGTGCATAAAGAAACATGAAAATTAAAATTCAAACTAGTAGCAAAAGTAAACAAAAGTGAAGTTTTGGAGTGGTTTATCAAAAATATTAAATACGGAGTATCATTTACGTGAGTAGGCGGTGGAGTATGACTTTTGTAGGGTGGTCGTACGAGCAGAGTGTTAATTGTTGGACAGTCAGACGAACATTCAAAAGATGATTGTGACTGAGATGCCTGCATTGAATATGTGGATATACAAAAAAAAAAACTTGAAAAATGAAAAAATCAAACAAAAGATGGGAGTAGCACATATAGAAGATAAGATGTAGGAGTCTCTATTATTGTGGTTTGGTCATGTGCATAGAAGAACGAGTGATACACATGTTACACGAGTTGAAAAATTGGGAAAGAGGCGGAGAGGAGAGGAAGATGAAGACTCAAACAAGCGTTGGTTAGAGAAATCGGAACTTATATGCTTCTTCTGGAATTGGATGAAAGGATGATTTTGAAGAGAGCAAAATAGAGAGCACATATTCATGTGAAGGATTTATCTATCTCTTTCTTCTCTTTTCTCCCTCTCTTTTTCTTTTATCTTCTTTATCTTTCTTTTGTTATTTTTATCTTTTATCTTTCTTGTGTTCTTTTATTTTATCTTTATATTTATCTTTATATGTATCATATCCTTTTATCTTACCTAATTTTTTTTATTCCTTTTTTAGTTTCGATATTAGAGTTGATTCATATTAGATGACCTCAAAATCTTTTGAGAATAAGACTTAAATGTTATTGTTATTGCCGTACGAGCAGAGTCAAACAAAGAGTAAATGCACTTTAGTTTAGGGATGGATTCGGTTCGGGCCACCCGGCTCGTGACCCGGCCCGGCCCGGTACTGTGTGGGCCCGGGACCGGCCCGGTCAGGCGGTCCGGGACCGGGTATGGGCCCGAACCGGGGGGAAGGGGTGGGGCGGGCTCGGTTCATCATTTTTGTGACCCGGCCCGGCCGGGTCGGGCCCGGGCCCGGGTCCGGGTCTATTTTTAAAAAAAAAAACTTTTTTTTTTAATTTTTGGCTACTAGCCGTTGAGGCCTTGGGGGTGGGGCTGGGGACAACCCAAACGGCTATATAGCCGTTGGGTGGGGTAAAGGGGGGGTCCGGGGGGGTTGGCTGGTAGGGGGTGGGGGTGGGGGGGGTGGGGGGTAAAAAAACCTATAAATTCTCATACTCTTAAACATTTTTTCATATCTCTTCTCCAATTCTTCCTAAATCCTATTCTTAACTCTCTACTCTCTAATTCTCTTATTCTCCAATATATTATATATCTACTCTCTAATTCTCTTCTCCAAGAAGTTAAGATGGAAAATCAAAATGCCATTATACGGTATAATTTTGATAAGCAGAAGGACCCGAAGACCGGGATGTGGTACGCAATTTGTAAATGGTGCGAAAAAAAATGTATTATGGGGGCTTCAGGCGGATTCGGGATGACAATCAAGCATATGAAGTCATGTGACAAAGCCAAAGGATGGGAGGTGCGGGAAGTTCCGATTGATTACAATTTTCAAAATGTTTATCTCTTAAAGTTTGTTTTAATTTTCAAATGTAGTTCCTATTTCATTTTAAATAAATGCAATTGAAGTTTGTTTTTAATACTCGTATAAAACTATAAACTATAAAATATAAAATATAAATTATAAAAAAAAAAATTAACCGGCCCGGCCCGAACCGAACCCGACCCGTGACCCGGGCGGGTGGCCCGGCCCGAACCGGACCCGTCCAACCCTCGGGCCGGTCCCGGGCCCACTGTTCTTGAACCGGCGGCCCGACCGGGCCTAGGCCCGGCCCGATTCCATCCCTACTTTAGTTTAATTAACTTGGTTGTTGTCATGATGTGCAATAGGCTAACTACTTATTGTTTTTATCTGGTCATGTATGAACAGGTCAGTTTATTGCATCGTTATTTATTGCATGCCTTTACAACGTACGAACTGCAGTAGGGATGGATTGGGATGGGTCGACCCGGCTCGGCCCTCTTTAGGCCCGGAGCCCAACCTGATCCCGGCCCGGTGACTATAAGGGCAGGCTTCATTAACATTTTTTAGGCCCGACCCGACCGGGCCAATCCCGAGCCCGATTGCACTATTTTTTTAAATTATTGCCCAGGCACATCTCGGCCCGATCCCGACCCGATACCGTTTAGGCCCAACCCAGCTCGGTCCCAGTACAAACCCGAGCCGGTACCGGGCCTGAAATTTTTAGTCCCGATCCATTCCTAGACTGCAGAAATTACAAAGTAGTGATTTCATACTATTCAATTCCATATTTAGAAATTCATTCTTAATTGCATGGAAATACACACATTTATATAGTGATATAGGAGAGTTTTCTCTAATTGCGCATATATTTAATACGGAGTACTTGACATAGTACACGTGTGTTGCACAATTGTTTTATCATGTTATGACTTATGAATATATAAGTAAAATTATAAAATTATAAACAACTTAATTATATATAAATATTATCCACCCTCAATCAACTTAATCAACTTAATTATCAATAACCAAATGAAAAATGCATCTAAATTTCTAAACCCCAACATCTCCCCCTCACAAGTCACAACTACCCCCTTTCAACCAACAAGTGGTGAAAGCAATATACCGTTGACAGTTCAAGTAGAAAGGATGGAGTTTGACAAGTTATGCACTTGTGCGTATATTTCAATATGCACATATAAAATGTCTGACTCCACTTTTAGCTGCAAAATAGAAGAAAATTACTACGTATAACATAGGATGACTTTACTTGGACTGTAATTCGTCCCAGACCAGACCAATTCAAACCAGACCAGACCAGACTTGGATAGTTATAAAAATACAAAGAAACCAGACCAGACCAGACCAGCAAATTACAAGTAAAAACATCCATAGAGCACTATAATGCCATAAAATTAGTTTTCCCCTGTAGGCTGTAGGTGTTTTTTTATGATACAAAGACAGTAAATGGGAAAAGTCACTAGTCTAAAGTTTCTAAGCACTAGTTCAAATATCGCTTTAAAAAATGCAGTGTTTGAAAGTAGTTGGAACTCAAAAGAAAGTGATCAGTTGGTTGTTCTATAGTTCAAGTTGTAAACAGAAGATATATGAGGCCCTTAAGATACTCGACTATTTCTGAACCTCCCAACTTGGAGCTCCCAAATACTCTATCAACAAAAGTGATTGGAACCTGCAGCAAATGGAAAAAGAGAACTACAACTTCGTCTAAACACCGAAAAAATCAACCAAAAGTTCTCGAATTAAATGATTATTGAATGTAACCAAAATCCACTGAGCAACAAGAGTTAAGTAGGTTTAGGAACCAACAACCTTTTAGGAAAAAGATAATTAACTACCTCTTCAATATGATAATGTTTTCTTGAAGCACGGACAATCATCTCCATTTGAAAAACATAGCCTTTACTGACGCATGAACTTATGATGTCTTCAAGCACTGACTTCCGGTAGAGCCTTTAATCATGGAAGAGAAGTTGTCAAATTAAGATAATTAAATAACAGGTCTGGATTGGGCAACTAAGCAGACTTGACCTGACACACAGGCAAAAATATTTGGCTTGCTATGATTGAATTGACCTCGTGTTTTTACAGGGAGAAAGGATCAGCTCATTTTATTGATTTTTACATCCCTAATTTTCATTACTTCCTGTCATAGATTGAATGGGGACACTATGATTTTCACACCCAAAAATGACCATGAACTTTCAATGAAAGGCAGATTGACCCTGAGCTATCAAGACATCCTGTTTCGCCCCTAAACTAAATTAAAATAAGTAAATAACTCAATCATGACCTTGCACTTTAAAAAAATTATTAACTTTAGGCATGTCGTATAGCAATATATGCATGCGCCAAAAAGAGAATATGATTAGGTACATGAAGAAAGGTATAACTGATGATAAGATCACTTGCAACAATTTCTTTATAGAGAAAAATGTCAAATTGGCCCTCATACTATGTACGGAAAGTCAATTTTACCCTCGTACTTTAACTTTGATCAATTATGCCCTCGTACTATGAAATTTTCGTCAAATATGAATTTTAGCAGGTTTCCCTCTGGTCAACAGGTTACCTGCTGACACGGTGCACATTTGGCCTGACATGGTTCACACGTGGCGACTTATGTCACCATTTTTTTCTTTTCTTTCCAATTCCTTTTTTCCTTTTTCTTTTTCCTTTGTTTTCCATTCTCTTTCCCTGGTCCCCTCCCTGTTTCTTTTCTCGTCGGTCTTCTTTCTCCCCCGGCGGTTTTCTAATCAACCATCAGCCGGAGACCATTTCTTGCAATCGGCGGAGCTGATACCACCGGGCAGAAGCGACGAAGTCGGCACTCCTATGCGAGATCAATGACAAGGAACCAGGTTGGCATGGGGTCTCCTCAGTCAGCCGCTCAGCGCAACACCAGAGCTTAATTCGCCGAAATCAGAAGCCACGCCATCACATCCACAGTTCGGCATCCGCCCAACTCCCTACAACGGTCTTCTTCTCCGGTAAGCTTCGTCGCAGGTTACCTTCGTCGCCGGTTGCCTCAGTCGCCGTTTGGGTTTAACCCAAAACCGATCTGTAAAATTGAGCCATAAAGGAGGAAGACAAATGGCTAATCGGATGAATTCAAGTCATGGATGAAAACCTGCAGATGAATTTATGGCATGAAGGAATCTGTGACACTGCGCAAGGAAGAAGAGAGGACGAACGGGAAAGAGAAAGAAAGAGGAAAAGGAGAAAGGGAAAAGAAGAAGAAAAAGAAAGAAAAAAGAAAAGGAAAAAGAGGGAAAAGGTGACATGGCCGCCACACATCCGTTGTGTCAGTCTATCTGTGTGCTACGTCAGCGGGTAACCTGCTGACCAGCAGGTTACCTGCTAAAAATCATCTTTGACGAAAATTTCATAGTATGAGGGCACAATTGATGAAAGTTAAAGTACGAGGGTGAAATTGACTTTCCGTACATAGCAGGGCCAATCTGACACTTTTCTCTTCTTTATATAATGTGTTTTTACTATTTCATCTGATTTGATTTGTCATCTGTTTCGGACGCTCACATCTGCAGCATGATGAACATCGATCAAGACTTTTTTTAGAGTCCGGGGTCATTAATGAGTCACTTAAGTTTGTTCAAGGGCTAAATGGCACATTTGAAGAGTTCATAGTCAATCGAGTGTTCTTTGGACGCTTAGGGTCACTTTTGGATATTTGGCACTTGACCTTATAAAACTTCTGTATTAGTTATAAAGAGAAATGTCACCGAAATGATCCAGTTAAGTCTGATACTCCTGGCCAAAGAAGTGTCTGTGCAAGGACATTTGCTCCTCTACTTGTCAATTTACGCATTAGATTCCAGCCGTGAACACCGCCACCCTTAACATAGCGGGTTCCCGTGACGATATCAGCACCGGTATCTATTTGTTTCCTGAATTAAATGAAATATCATAGTTATGCCAAAACAACCTAAAACACAAAAACAAAAACGTTTTTAAAGTTCATCAATACACATACACTTACTTTATAAATTTTGGCAGGTACTTTGGCTGCAACAAATAAGTAAACCAAAATAAACACTTTGGATATAGTGAGATATACAAAGCCAAACAGATTGCAGATCAATATTTAAGCTATCAACAAGCCTAATAGAAAGGTGCAAGCCCCAGTATTGAAAGTAGAGTGAAAAATGTTAGGTGGTGTTAGGTAACATATTTCCAAATTTCCAAAAACAGAGTAGAAAAACAGAGAAATGAAAAACTTGCAAACAGAAAATAAAACTCGAAATCAGAAAACTAAAGGATATAAAACAAAAGCAAATGTGCCCCTAATAATAATTTAACAATGTTTTTCTTCTTTATCATCCACTGTTTTTTAGAGAAATCTCAATTTTATTAAAATATTATAATGAGGACAAATGCTAATGAAGGAAGGAAGTTATAGAAAGAAAAAACTAGTGAAAAGAAAAAAAAAACATTAAGGAAAGAAACGAAGTACAAAAGCCCACCTAGTCCAGTCGGTGATTTTAACAATGCATATGTAGGAACTTGGAGATTATCGTTTGCATTTATCACAATTACACTCAATATAAAAAAGTGCATGTGTATAACCTTTCAAAGCATTCTTACATGGTGGGATAGATCGGCATCCATAATGACAACAAAGTCTCCAGAGGCATACTTCAAACCATGAATATATGCAGTACCTGAATGATATACAGTTAGGGACATGCTTGATCAAATTAGGTTAATTAGGAAAAGCATATGTAAATACCTAAACCAAGCTTAGCAGATCGAGGCCTCAAAAGCTGCAAGACCAATGGGGGGGAGTACAAACTCTTAAGAATTGTTATCTACAGGGAAGAAATAAATCACAAAGAATTGAGTCAAAAAATCTACTGACAATGCGACCTTCCCCATACACCTGCTGCAATTGCTCAACAATATCTTGAGTTCCATCAGGACTTCCATCATCCACAACTATAATTTCAAAATCAACATCCCTACCATGACAAAAGTAAATAAGTCTTACAATATTGTGGTTAGACTTTACATTACGATAAAACATTTTGCATGCATAAAAGTTTAAGAACTACCAATTTAAATAATTAAATGAGCAATTAAACTTTAAGGACCGCAATATAAATTAGCTTCAGCTGGTAAAATTTAATGATACCAAGAGAGCACGCAGTACATCAAAATATATACTGGTATAATTAGAGAACCCAAAAGATGAAGCATCAGAAATTTTGTAAGAGAAAAATGAAGTGAGAAGCTATTAAGTACGGAGTATATGAAGAAAAAGATAATAATAGATTTTAGAGCTAGAACAAGAGCAAGATCACAGGAAAATTTTAGAGTTTGTAATCAACAATTAGCATCTAAACTATACAAATAATAGATTGAATTGTGCACCTAAAAAGATTAAAGTAAACCAATAGATGAAATTGAAAAGATGCACCAAGAACCCATGAAAATATAGGGAGGGAAAAGAATATTACTTGACATGCTTGAAAAGGAGGTAAACAATGAGGGCGATGTTGAGTCGTTCATTATAAGTTGGGATAATTATACTGTACTTGGTCTTCTCCCCCATGGATCTCCTTAAATCAAACCATCAATATCAAAACAAGGCAGACAAAGTGGGCCAGGCCAGCTGAACAAATTGTGAACAAGCTTGAAGTTTCAATGGCTGGCTTGAATAATGGTACGCTGGTAAGTTTCACCAGGCGAAATGAAAACCACCCTTTTTTAGGAGTAAAAGAAAGGGGAAGGGAATGTATATACCCCTGCAATTTTAGTGTGAGAACATTTTCCCTGTAAGATACCCTTGTTTTATTTTTTGGATAAAAAACTTGCATAACTGAAATTGGGGTACGAGTCTACCCTCCCTAATGTTTTAAACATTTTACCTATCAGATGTAAAGTTACTTTTGTGAGAATTGAATGCATCCTGATTGAAGAACCTGGTTAAAGCTTCTCTCTTATTCATGTGTCTTTCTTCTCTATCGTAAAGCAACTATCCGATTATATGAAATGGAGTTTGGAGATGTTCTTGGGTGTATCTTTTAATATAATAAAAATGGATGATATTCTTCATATTTGCACCTAATCCTATATGAAAAAACTGTTGAGTCCGTTATTGAAAGCTAGCTGGCTATCAAGACTATTGAAGTATATATATTATATAGTACCACTAAGTATATATAGAGAAAGTTTGTATTTTGTTTTTGTGTTGGGAAGGCAACATTAGTTGTTTCTCTGTGAGTGCATAATATTGGTGTGTGAAATAGCAGAAATACAGTCTCAAAAAAAGAAAGCAAAAAACATAGAAAAAAACAGGGCCATCAAGAGTGAACTAGCTTGAGTTAGAAAGAGAGAGAGTTGCGCCGATAAATCTCAAAATCTGTCCAATGTTTTCTGAGGTTTGACTCATCTGTTGATGTCTCTGGTTGGGCATCCACTCTTACTTCCTCTGATCTCCTCCTCACTTCTATGCCTCACCCATGGTTAATTACTTACATGGCCATGCAGAGTCTAAGTCTCTAACTCAACTCTATGGCCTTCACCCCTGCAATCTTTGTTCATAGCTTTCACTTCTCTGTTATTCAGACGGACAGGCACAGGAGTGGAGAATACTTGAGCTGAAGTATATTGTGGATCGGTGGCAATGTTAATACATTTAATGGACCGTTAAGGATACTTTTAGGCCAAGTATTTGACTTTTTATGTTTTTTGTCCCAAATTATCGAACAAGGGTATAATTGTTCCATTTCCCTAAAAGAAATGGAGCCAAGTTCTAGAACGAAAAATGGGATAACAAACCGATAATCCAACATATTGAGGGTTTCATGAGCTATTTGCAGGCCCACACTAGAACTGTCAAAAACGTAAAACCATGGGGTAAGTTTATTTACTTCTATTGGGCTACGACATCTCCAGGGATATTGAAATCAATATAGATCAGAGTGTCAATAGCTTGGAGATCATTTATAGGTGGGGTGGCCACTGGCCAGAGAGTCATAGACCATTCTAGGAAAGCAATGATTGCTTGATTGCCAACTATGAAAAAATCTATGCTTGTAATATTGAGATGACTGAGCTTTTTCTGTTTGGTCATAACCGAGAATTGCAAAATACTGGCGCTGGAAGTCTTGAGCAACACCTTCAATTAGACAGATTTTAAAGATGTAATAACCATTTCAATTTTGAATGTAGAAGATGTGAGATACAATGGGTCATAAAAAGATCAGGCATATTTCCTCTGACCTTAATATTTTCTTTTAGGCTGTGATGAGGGAAGCTAATGATATTGCTGATGAAATGGCTAAACTGAGCCTCCGCTCTGATTCCCTAAGGCTCTTCAATTTTAATGGATTTGATAGGAAAGCTAAAGGACTTGTCTGCACTGAACAGGCTGTCAGGCAGATATCTCTAACATTATAGCTCTCTGCTGATGGGGCTGCTGTTTTGGATCCCAACATTCTGCATACTGTGATACTCGGGTATAGTATGTTCTTCATGGCTGAGAGCATGAACTGCCATTCCCATTTACAGCGTAGACTCCAGTATGCTGAAATGGTCGGAAAGGTGACATGAGTTTGTTAACAAATTTGGTAATTGGGGCTTGAAGAGACTCAATGGAGGGTAGTTTTTCATTTACAAGCTCTCTTGGGAGTGGTACATACTGTCCTTAGTTCTTATTCGTCATTTCTTCCTTGTAGAGTGGCTTTGTCCTAGCCTTCTATATTGCCAGTGTGGAGAATTTGGGCTACTTGGGTGCACGCATCTAGCCTCTTCTGGAGGAAAGGTTCGCCTAAGGCCTTTTGTGTCCCCGCATTTGTTTGGTAGTTTACATACTGAATTACTGATTTTTGTGGCTGCTTTGCCCTTCCTTGTTTGTAATCAGTTTCAGCCTGTTTAGGGTCTTCTCTTCCTTTTTGTTTTGCTTGTATCTTTTTAGGGGACTGCCATCTTCGGAAGGGCATTGCCTTTGGGTCTTGGTATTTGTCCCCATGTATATCTTATTTACTTTCAAAAAAATTCAGTAAGGGGTTCCTAGCCTAATCCTACTGACTTTTGTGCAGCTTTCTGTCTTTAAAAATGAGTTCTACTCGGTATATCAAATTCCCCCTGTCTTTAATTCTTGCATATGGGATGTTGCTACAATGCTACCATACAATCGACTTAGTTTTTATTTATAATGTTTTAGAGCCATGCTCATCCAGCCATTCTACAACAGAACCAAAATAACAGGAAAAATGTGCAAATCAGAAACCAACAATGCAAAGATGAGGTAATATGGGAACTTGCATAAATATTACAAACAAGCTTAGAGTCGCATTGATCAAGAAACATTCGAAATCCTTGCTATGTGCATATCTTAAGCCTAAAATAAATCCACTTATTCAGAACTTCTATGAATTTTCAGCATACAATGCCAGAAAAATCAATATGAGCCAAATTCCACAGCAAAGCCAAATTCCACAGCAAAGCCAAATACATTAAAGTGATCCATGGATGGACCAATTCACAATGACTAATTCCTAAATTTTAAAAGCACACAATAAAACGCAAGAAATTTAAGTACAACAGATTGAGATTCAAAGAGTTAAGATGTATAGGTTTATCAGCAACTCAGCATTACACTTGAGAGCTTTTCTATACTGCCTCTAATCAATAATAATCACTTATCTGATAGGCAGATAGGGAGTCAGAATGTTTAGCTGCTGAGGTCTCCATCCCCAGGACCCCATCCCATCTAGATATAGTTAAAGAAATTTATAACCACATTACAAGTAAGTACATCACATCACATGACCTGATCAGATCGAAACTGACTTTAATACGGAGTATAGAATAACGTATTATGCTGACCTTATAATCATATTCTTCGGGTTTGCTTCATAATAAATCGATTAAATGAATAATTCGATGAATTATTTACAACCTAAAACAGTACATCCACTAAAGTGATAAGGCAAATATTTAGTTTAAAACATCTGAACGATCTGTTTATTGTAATAAAGCCTAATTTTTGTTTGAGAATATTTGATAAGGGTGGAAGTTAAAGAAGCAAATGCTGATGATGGAGGCGAGCTTAACAAATGAAATACCTGGGTTAAGAAAAACGGTGAATTCTCTGTCGTCGGAGGCCAGACCCAAAAGGAAGCGGATACGGGTTTGGAAATCGAAGCTTCAAGCGGGTCGACTGTAGAGCATCTGTGTAGCACATATACCGATATACGGAAGGCCGAAACGCTGATACGGGGAAGGAGTGGGTGGGAAAAACAGGAAACCCGCCCTGGTCCGGCCGGAAAATGTTTCCCGTCCGAGTTTCTTCTTTTTAGCCGGATCAAATAATAAAAATCCGGATTGAACCCGAATATTCGGGCTCATAAACGGGCTCTAAAATTTATAGCCCGGTCTGGATCGATAAAAACTCGAAACAATTAACTTTAGGGAGAAAGAATGAATAGGATTAAAACAATAGCACGGAACTTAAATAGGAGTCAACACTTTTTTACTCTTAAATAAGACTACTTTCATGTTAAGAGACAAAAATGCCCCCCACCTTCACAGAAGCTTGGTGGAGAAAGAAAAAATAATTCAACTTTAATTATATCAAAGATTCCTCCGCTTGGTGTCACTATCCGCCGCTGACTGCCGCCAGACCTCCGCCAACCGCCGCCGACTACCACTGGACCTTCGCCGACCGCCGCCAAACCTCCGGCCACCCCGTCGAACCTCCCCTGATCGCCGCCGACCGCCGCCAAACCTCCGCTGAACCTATGAAGATCTCCATCGCCCGTTCTCCGGTAACCTCCGCTGCAGGTCCTCCGACGACTTCCGTCACTAGTTCTCTAGCGACCTCCGCAGCCACTCCTCCGACGACCTCTGCCGCCAGTCCTCCGGCGACCTCCGCCGCCAGTGCTTCGGCGACCTCCATCGCTGATTCTCTGCAACTTCTTTCAAATTTACTCCGACGACCTTCATGACCAGAACTTGAATAGCCAACAATGAGCTTCAACATTAACCCAATGATAATGGCAACATAAAAAAAAATACAATGCTATAAAAATGACATTGTGAGTATTACAATGACAGTGACAATGTAGTAACAATGTCGTAACTATTTTACAATGTCACACATTGTTATTATAAACATTGCCAACACAAACACCTGAATGTTACAACGACAGTGACAATGTAGTAACAATGTCGTAACTATTTTACAATGTCACACATCGTTATTGTAAACATTGCCAACACAAACACCTGAATGTTACAATGTCATGATAACAATGTAAATGTTATGAAAAATGGAATTGAGATAATGACTATGTTAATAGCAATGATAATGTCATTGCAAATGCTATGTAAAATGACATTGAATTCACGACAATGTCAATAGCAATGTAATGACAATGTCAACAACAATGTAATGACATTGTCAATCTTGAATTCTTGATGTCGATAGCAATGTCATGACAATGTCAGAAATATTTCTCAATGTAAAACGTAGTCATCATAAATATTTCCAAAAACAAACAATGTCAAATATTGTCAACAATATCAAAATAAAAATGTCACAATATCAATTCAATCATCTAAAAATGACATTGTAACAAAATATTCGACAATGTCAATGTTATAATGACATTGTGACAAACCGACATTGTAAAACAATAACAATGACATTGGAATCAAACAATTATGAAAATAATGTCAAACATTACAAGATGTCATAATATTAAAATCATTTATCACATTGTAAATTTGACAATGTTGATATCCAATAGAAATATATGACAATGAACATCAAAGTGTGACTATAATAATGACATTTGAATCAAATTTTATCTAAAAAGTATAAAACAAAAACAAAACAAAACACATATCTCTACAAAAGTAAGAAGTTGAAACAAAAAATTTGAAGAGGAGAAGAATTAGAAGGCACCGCATGACCAAGGCACCAAAGTTCATTCCCAGATCTCTAAAACAAATACTTCGTATTGAACAAAATAAAGAGAAAAAAATTTATCCGCCTCCTGTAAAAGAAAACCAAAATTTAGAAGGCACTGTATGACCATTGACCAAGGCACCAAAGTTCTCATAATAGGTATGGACACATTTACCCTTCTATCTCGGATAGTACACCGAACCTTATCTTTTCCTCATCCCACGACAATCTCTATCTCTTCTCCGTGGCTCAACCTCGTCGTACGCTCTCTCTTCTTTCTCCATAGAAAAGCAGGGAAGCTTCAAGATAGATAAGACACAGCAACACTCCAACAGTGATTGGCAGCGGCGGCTCGACGGAGAAGATGCGGCAGCACAATAGCTGCGGGGAGAGAGCGGGCTCGACGGAGAAGATGCGACGGAGAATTCACGGATTAAAAAGACGTCACTCTTATTTAGGTTCATAGACTTTTTTTAGTCCTATTCTAGACCATTTCTCTTAACTTTAATATAAAATTAGTATAATATATGAATCTAATTTATAAATGATTCCTAATACGTATATGATTACAATCACGGTGGATGAAAAAAATGACTTATTATCTTTTAGTAACTACAAATATGTTCAACTTTTTTATATCGTACTGATCATGAAAATATATTTATGGTAACTTTAGTCACATTTTTATCCATACATTTTATTTAGTAATATTTTTAGAAAACCTATATTATTTATTTATATGCATCTTAAACAAAATATTAAGATAATTATCATCTTTGGATTTGATTTTTTGTGATTACGGAGACTACTATTTGTGTTATTATCTGAGGTTTGACTAATTTTATTTGAAAATAGGTTTTAAAATATAAAAGAGCAAGGGGATGATTTCATGTTCGGGCTTTAATCGGCTCAACACGAACCCAGACCGAACCCGTGCTACCGAAAACCCGACTCAGACCGAATAGAATGAGCTTTATTTCGTTTCCTAATTTTCATAACCCAAGACCTTACGGGTAATTTCCCTAAAGTATCTTATACTCCGATAGAATATTTTGATCAAGTATGTGAGAATATTTTTTTACACGCTGATAGAGTACTCTAATCAAGTATCTTTATATAAAAAATTATAAGTGAATGAGGGTTAGAATAAAATGGGTATAGAAAATATGTTGTAGAAATCTATTGTAATGTGTAGTTGGACATTGTGTTTTACACGATACACTTTATATTGTGTTCTTTTGTATTTCGTTTAATCTGTCAAACTTATGCACGGTTCATAAATCTAAATCATATTTTGCAAACAGGTAGTTCACCTCGCCTTCTACCCCGATCAATCATCAATAGTCTGGTGCATGCATTTGATCCGCCCTGGTCACCAATTTTTTGCAACTCTGCGCTAGTAATGGATCCTCAACAGTAGTAGAGGTTTAATTGTTTCTACTCATGGAAGGAATTTTCGAATTCGCAAATTACTTTTTCCGGTCAGTAAGTTATGATACACAATTCCTTCACCTTATACTTCACTTTCTATAGATGATTTTGCAATAGTACACCAAACAAATCTCAAAAACATGAAGTCGTTGGATATATCATCTTTAATTAGGGTTTTGGTGGACAGTATGCAAGAATCAATGGGTTGGTTTTTAAACATACTTGAATTGAAAGTCACACTCATAATAATTCAAATATCAAAGACATTCATATGATTGTTAATGAGTTGTAAAAGGGTTTTGGTTGTTAGAGTGCAAGTATTAAGAGTTTGGATTTTAAACAGTTGAATTCAAAGGTAAACATAAAATATTTGAAAAATCAAAGTCATTCATATGTTTTATAATATAAAACTTTGTATCTTTTGGTTGTGGCAGTGATCAGATAAGCTTAAAAAAATGGAACCAATTTTTAAGACTCAAACAAAATGAGTAATGCTTATCATGGATCGATTTATGTTAGCCGACCCCGAAATGTTTTGGGAATAAGGCGTGGATGTTGTTCTTGTTGAAACAAATTGAGAGTAATGCTTATTAAGCTTACCTTTTTGTGAATGGCGTTATGGTTTGAATACTTAATTTATATTCAAGTGTGAAGCATCAAGTAGATCATGTTCACAAATGGTATATTCGGAGCAAGGACTCTTTGAGTGGCCCCCTACCGTCGATGATTAGTATGACATTAAAAGTGGTATGATGTGGAAATTATACAGGGAGTTTGAACATGCAAGCCATTCATTTAACAATTGGAGAAACTAATCTTGAGTAACTTCCTCTTGTATCGATGCAATTTTTCATGTTCACTTCTATTTTTTGCACAATTGTGATTATTCTATGTCACATCTTTTTTTGTTTCCTTATTACCATTTTAAAAAGCATAAAAGTTATTGCTCAAATACGCAGTCCACCCATCCATTGTGGGTAAGAAAAATGAAACTAAATTAATGCTTTCATTTGATTTTGAAATACGGTTTTCTATTATGAGAATAGTTTTACAGTAAATGTGTATAAATTTATCTTGTAGTAGTTTTCAAATTAGAACTTTAAACAAAAGAACCTAAAAAGCAATATTTATTTCATTTCTTGATTAAAAAATAGATAGACACATGACTAATGAAAAACATATATATCTTAGGTAAATTTCATTATAGGAAGATGAAACCATCCTTAGTATTCATCTTTTGATATGCTTGTTATTTACCATCCTTAATTGTGTAACAAACTAAAGAGCATATTAGTTGGATTAGTGAATTCTTTGATTGCTTGTTCTTTTGGCAAAAAGTCCAGGTTATAAGTACTCTCTGAAACTCACTTTGCAACATTATGCTTAGAAGAATTGAAGTTTTGAATTTTTATGCATATGTGTCAACTGTCAACACTAAACGGGGATGCCATAACATGTTGAAGTTCTTGCCAAATGTGATTGGTTCAACAGAACATATAGTTACTGTTGAGTTTGAGTCCAACATAAACTAATAGATATAGATATAATTTGGTATAACACTCGATTTTTACGTGGAAACCCGGAAAGGGAGTAAACCATGAGACTTTTTAGGCTAAGGTCCAAGCCCGCTCTTTCTCATTAATCCTCTCCTCACCATTTACATAGTACAAATCTTAAGCTCCATTAATGGAGTCTTGAACAAGCTAATCTAAAGGGGATGGGGAGGAAGCATTCTCCCAGGAGAGAAGAGGAAAAAAGGCCCATCTTCAGGAAGAGACCTCCTCCTATTTATAGGAAGGAGGGGAAAGCCCTTCCATGCTAATGGGCCTAAAAGGCCTTGTTGGACCTAATTCATATCATAGCGGGCCGTTTGGGCTGAAATGGGCCTCGCTGACTGGGCTTCATACCGGGGTGATGCCCTGGACCTCTGAACAGTAGTAGGTCGGGATAATATTCCACAACAGTTACTATTCTAGACCTGTAATATTCCTC